CACACACACACACACACACACACACACACACACACACACACACACACGGAGCCCGCCCCCCCACCAGGTGCACAAACAGACCTGCTGAGAGCTACTTAGAGAAGTCCCCTGCCTCCAATTAGCATTAATAGCACTTAAACCATGGGGGAAATGCATGAGGGTTTTTGGTATGCTAATCAAAAGGGCTAAAGGAGTGATCCCGGGATAAAAGAGAGCCCGAAGAATAGGATGAGTGAAACAGAGATAGACGAGGAGGCAGAGGAGAGGGGATAAAGACGGCTCAGACAGAAAGAGGCAGAGTGAGTAGTGGGAAAAGAGCAAAGTCTTCAAAGGGCTCTCGGAGCTGCTCCACTTCAGGGTGGCCTGAACGCTCTTCGCTTCCTGAGGGACGGTCCCGGGCCTCAAACGGCCTGTGAACAATCCCCCTATCAGGCACTCTGTTACGGCTTTATTGACTAACAAGCCTGGGGTCATTTTGGTGTTAAAGAGATTGAGAGAAAATCAAGTTCTCCCCCTCTCACCTCCTTCAAACAATGAACTCCCAGGCCTGATAGCAAACTCTCGCCCCCCCCCTCGAGCACAAAACTTTGCAACCGTTCAGTCATTTTCGATGACAGCCGCCATTGTAAAAGCTGATTAAAAATACTCAACGGAGGCCATTAAAGGGCCATTCTGCGTCCCCGTGAGTGCAGGTATACAGGTTTGTTTCCTCCCTTTCTGTCTTCACCGCACCCTCCTCTGGCTCCGATGGAGATAACAAGTCTTAATGCGACGGCAAACAGTGGAATGGCGCGCTGGGGCCAAAGTGATTAATGTGTCCGATTAGCGAGCGCACAAACTTATCGGCGAAAGGTAAACGGTCCGAGAGGGCGTGTGGGCTGGAGCCCGTCAGCTCATATCAGGCCCTTATTGCCCGCAGTAAGACTAATTACACTAATCAGCCAAGCTGATAAATCCCAACAATTGTGTGGCTGTGTAGGAGGGGGAGCTGCACTTAAAGGTATCCACACACGTACATGCAGAAGAAATAGACATGCAGACAGTGAAACAAGTGACTGGGAGTTGTGCAATAAAAGGAAATGAATAAATAAAATAAGACAAGATGCAACTACGACTCAGATGTGGCAGTAAGAACACAGGTTCATTAAAAGACGAGTTCTGTGCCTTGAAGAGAGAATCATTTGGTGTGACACTTTGTCCTGATTGGATGCTGTTGAATCCACTGTGTTCTGTTACAGTTTAAGAAGAGCACATCTCACCTCCTGCACTTAAAAACGAGAAAGAATTTCCCAAGGAGACGAAATCGATGAAGTTCTTATACAGTAGGTCACGTACATTTTTTTGTCTTCAACCTAAAAAAAATGCCACAATACGCAGTAATTAATGACTTCACCAAGTCCAGTGTTTTTGAAACACTGTTGCACAAAGTTGTGTCTCAAAATCCACGATGCACACTAACTCTACGCTCATTCTGAGTGCGTAAAGTGACAAAAGCATGTGTAATCAAAACAGTCAGCATGTAGACTGAGGCTACTAATGCACTGCATGCTGCATACTCAATCAGTGTGTTCTGCATACAATGAACAATAGGTGTGATTTTACCAGCAGAACGTTCACACTGAAGTATACTCGAGCGAAGGCCGGGCCGCTGTGTAATATAATTTGGATAAACAGATCACATACTGGGAATTGAAACAGTTACTTTCTTGCATGCAAACATATAAAAACTTAATAAAGTGACACACATTAACCGTTTTTATACCGGCTCTAAATCCCACAAGATTGACAGCGGGTCTCAAGGCACTCAAGACGCAATGCATTGTGGGGCAGTTGAGTGTGTGCAGTAAGCTAATGTAGCATACATCCGGGCATTCCCAGCGTACACAGAACCAACATAGGATGCCGTGTGAACGCACTACACACTCACTCAGCATGAATAGTTTGTCGGTATGCTAATTCCAACACAGCCTATAAAACCTTTCATTTTTGAGGGCGTTGCTGATGGACACTATCCTCCCACAATGCACTGCACAAAGGGAAATTCAGGAGCTGCTCTCAACTTGTGAAGAAACAAAACTAATTGTGGATGGTGAGGAAATAAGCTCCAGGAAAACCTCAGAAAAAAACTACCAAATATAAATACGCCGCACATCCAACAGGCCGAGTTTAAAACATTATACTTATTTGTTTTGCTTACGGCAAATAATAAACTTACATGCTACAACATGAAAACGTGACAAGATTAAAGTTTGAGACGTCTGACCGGCATCAGTGTCGGATGACACCGACGCTGCTGATGAAATATTTGTCTTGGCAGTTACAGTTTCTATTACAGCGATCACCTGTTGTGTAAAGTTGACGTAAGAATACTACCCCCCCCCCCCCCCCCCTCCCCTCCGTTTGCCCCTCCACTCTTTTGTGTTTTGCCGATCACATCCGAGATGATGGGTGTGTGTGTGTGTGTTTGCGCTCGCACGTCTGGACCCTCTGGCCCCATCGAGAGCTCATTCATTCATGCTTGGTTTGGGGTTTAATGTTTGACCTGGCTGCTGACACATTACTCACAACGTGTTCCGGGCCGCTGTCAGCTTGTTTGTCTTGCAACAGTAAAAAAAAAAAAAAAAAAAAAAACCTGCCGATGTGAGCACCGGCCCTACCTGCGGTGTGTCACACAGGAGAGGCTGTCGCGACACACACATTGCTGTGCCATACCAGCTACCGTAGCTGTACACTCACTTTATCTTAACAAGACTTAAAAGAAAAGAAAAAAAGATTCAAACAATAAAAAGCTGTGAATTAAATGTGACTTAAGAGATTTTGTTGGACCAGACTACCAACCTGCATCCCCAAGACCAGACACCCGGTCCTTGCCAGACTTCCTTGTCCCACATTCTCTTATCGCTCCATCAAAAGCTATTAACTTGTTCCACATAATGGCAAATAAGTGACAGGCCAAACAGTGGGCTAGTCTGGTGCTCAGTATTTAATGAGGGCAATATAAACTTGGGAATATAGGAAGGGCGGGAAGCCAAAGATAAAAGTCATAGTAACAGTGGCTTTAGTTCAAGGGTGGCGAAGAGCATCATGGGATAATCGAAGTGGCTAAAAAGCCAGAAACTGCGGGGTTTCGAGTGACTCGCCGCCTCTTACAGCCATGTTTGTTTGCCGTTGTCAGGGGAGGCTTGGCAAAACACAACACACACACACACACACACACACAT